GTCGTGACAAGCTCACTAGCAACCACTGTTATCAGTAATACCTGGATCTGCACATGAAGTGTAGAGTGTAGTATGAGTACAATATATATGGCCCAAGATCGTGGAGGCATTTTCGCGATCATACACAGGAAATTCTGCTATCACTGATCTGACTTTGAAAACTTATATCTTGCAATCTATAAGGAATTTGGAAATGCTCCAAACATTAAAGTTGTTGCCCTTTGTGTCTAGTTTGCCGAAAATCAAACCGTTTGTAATTTGAAGTTTTGTACAAAAGGTTATGGCTAATATACTATAGGCTATTTGAGAAGAGTTTGGGAAGGGTTATGGAAGTTTGTTCAATGCGATCACGGGGAAATGGCCGCGATCGCATAGGGTAAAAATTATCCTGGAAAATTTGTAATCGCGATCGCATGGTGTGGGACCACAATCATGAAGGGTACCCCTGGAACAATGTATAAAGTACTCTATTTCGAAAGTTTCGGACTTTTTAGCATATTTTGAGCTGTGGAGCTCGGATTGAGGCGATTCGTTAGGCGATTTTCACTACATGGATTGGGGTAAGTGTTTCCTACTCGGTTTTGATTATATTTCATGAATTCATCTTCGATTTTGGCATTTGATTGATGATTTTGAAAGAGAAATTGTGTGTGTGGGGGGGGGAGGTGTCTAAACTTTCATAAATTGAATATTTTTGAGTTTTGAACATCAATTCGGAGTCGGATTTGAGTGAATCTAGTATGGTTGGACTCGTAATTGAATGAGTTGTCAAGTTGTTTGAGTTTTGTTGGGTTTTGAGGTGAGGGCCCGAGTTTGACTTTTTGGTTGACTTTGGGCTTTTGATTAAATATTCGACCTTTATCGATTGGGTTTGCTTCCTTTGGTATTATTTGATGTTCTTGAGTTTCTTTTGACTAGTTTTGAGCCGTTCAAAAGTAGGTACACACGGGATGGCATTTAAAGTAGACTACGAGGCGGTACCTCGGTAGTTATTCTGGTTGATTGTTGATACCTTTCAATTACATCACTTGTGTTTTGTTTGCATCGTTTCCTTGGCATTTTATTCTTTGATTTCTTTCGTGATGTCTTAATTGCCTTAGTTCAGTGTAGCTATTCTTGTTATATTTCTTCATTGTATCATTTCCATTGTTTTTTATTATCATACTGTCATATACCTGTTTAGGTTTTCTTATTTATTCCAGTAGGGTCTTGACCTGACTTCGTCACTACTCTACCTAGGTTAGGCTTGATACTTACTGGGTTGCGTTATGGTATACTCATGCTACGCTTCTACACATTATTTTATGCAGATCTAGGTACTTCTTATCAGCCTAGGCACTCGTGAGTCAAGCTTGGAACAGAGACATCAAGGTATACATGCCGGCGTCCGCAGGCCTCGGAGTCACCCTCTATATAGTTCTATTTCATTTTCCTTTTTTATAGATACTATTGTATAGGGCTATTCAGTAGATACAATTGTTCGGTTGAGTTGCGGAGTCCTTTTTATGATAGTCGTTGGTTAATTTGAAAGATTTATCATTATTTCAGTTAGATTTGTATGTTAGGCTTACCTAGTCTTAGAGACTAGGTTCCATCACGACATCCTACGGAGGAAAATTAGGGTCGTGACAAGCTCACTAGCAACCACTGTTATCAGTAATACCTGGATCTGCACATGAAGTGTAGAGTATAGTATGAGTACAACTGACTCCATGTACTTAATATGAAGCTAGCTTATGCTTCGCTTGAAAGCAGTGATGAGGTTGGAAAAGTTATATGCAAATTTTAACAGCCAACCAATAACAATAACAACATAATAATGGCATGTAAGGGAAAAAGCAATCAAATAATAATAGGTTCAACGCTAACACATTAAGAGGAGAAAAAACCATTCTTTTCACGTATATTATTCAAGGCATCGACTTTTTCACAAAAATCACATAGACATGGATTTGGCGAGATAAACAATGATTTCATGCTCTAAACATCAAATAGGGACATGAAATATCAATTAGCATGAGAAAAATACAATTGTATGCATGCATATCAAGTACACATGCCAAAATCAATAACATCACAATTTAATTATTAAGTATACACAATCTCAGCATGTTCATAGTGCCTGGCACGAATAACCCACATCCATACTCTCATCACTCTCACGGTGGCTAGTACAAGTACCCTTGAATTATTGCACACACAAAATCAGCACTATACGGGTGCTTGACATAAGTCCCTCACTAAGCACATATGGTGTGCCTGAACTCATAGAGCTCGAAGTAACATGGGTTATCACCTGATGACTCCAGAGAGGGCTGATCCTAGCTCAAACGTTAATTGGATCAAAAGTCAACGATCAATATCACTCAGCCCAATATGGGCCCTTGATGCAAGCGTCACTTCACTATCAATATCAACACTGCTCTATGGCCCAAGATCATTCATCAATCCCCTTAAGTCTTAATATTCCAATATATCATAGTATCATAACCAAAACACCACACAGAATATACCGATGTGGCACAACTCATGTCAAACCCGTGTCACGCATACAAGGACGCTAACAACATATGAGAAAGAGTACATAGAGATAGAGATATAACACACGGATATAATATCACGACTAAAAAATATGACTACGGCTAAGGCAAATAGCTCAACATAGGAAAAATAGGCCTATAATGTCTCAAACAGGTAAGCAATAATCAATACATGATTTCTAGCATTAATAATAGCTCACTTAGTCATACAAAAGTATAGGAAACATGGTATCCAAGAGGCCTGACAGCAAAACAAGGCATATAATAGACCAAAATTTACCTGAATCATGAGTAACTATAGTGCACGCATATACGCTTATAACCTCGCATATGCGTCACTGCCAACATATAAAAAAACATCATAGCCTGCAGGAAAATACCCTTAAGTGAAACCTAGGCAAGGTACTTACCTCGAACGAGCGAGACACAATACTCTAAGAATCCATTGTCTCTCAAATCGGCATCCTCACGAGTCAAATCTAGCAAAAAAATAACTCAATAACGACAAACAAGGGTATATGAATCAATTTCAAACGATAAAGCTTTATTCTTTATTTAATTTCTAAAAAGATAATAAAAGTCAACCCGAGCACACATGGTAAAAACTCAATTCAAGGGGTAGATCCCAACTACCCATAACCCCGCGAGTCCAAATATGTGATTAGATTCAAAAATCGAGTCCAAATCGACTCCCAAATTCTCAATTTACATTCTCCAAATTGTTGGCAAATTCCCCAAAATTTTCTTTCAAATTTCAAAATCTATGTGTGATAAAACCCTCGGAAAATAAGATATATTTTCCAATTCAAGTAGAAATCACTTACTCTCAAAAGTATGGTGAAAATCTCCTCCAAAATTGCCTCTGGCCGAGCCCCAAAAGTCAAAAATAGTAAAATTAATCCAAACCCTCGAAATATAATATTTTGCGAGTGATTTTATCATCTGCGGACAACTTGCTCACTTCTACAATGTTGTATCTGCGACAAAAAACTCACAGGTTCGAGATCACCTCAATCAAATGACTTTCGCTTCTGCAAATATCTTCCGCACCTGCGGATGCGCTTCTGCGCAAACACCCTTGTACAAGCGGTCCCACACCTGCGCAACAACAACGTAGATGCGATCAACCTGAGCTACTTCAAAACTCGCTTCTGCAAACAAGAACCCCACACAAGTGGCTCCGCAAGGTGTGACGCACCTGGCTACATGTGCAATCGCAACAGAACCTGTTCTGCTCAAATTCACAAAAAATGCTCCGAAATTATTCTAAAACACACCCAATCCCTTGAGATCCTGTCGAATCATATCAACAAGTTCGATTATATTATTCAAACTTATCCAAATGCTCAAAATACTACGAATAACACCAAATCTATGAATCGAAGATCAAAATACCTCTCTTAACTTCCAAACTTTCCAGTTACGCCGGACATGTCTGAATCATGCCTAAAATTTCGGATTCCAGCCAAACTTCACGCACAAGTTTCAAAGCACTAAATGAACCCATTCCAAGCCCGAAAACATTAACCTTAGCACGATATCATTAAAGTCAACTCCCGGTCAAACCTATGAACTGTCCAAACCTTCAAATTTCCAACTTTCGACAAATAGAGCTAAAACATTCAAGGAACCACCTAATCAAAATTTGAACATACGCCCAAGTCCAAAATTACCATACAAACCTACTGGAACCACCGAATCACCAATCCGAGGTCATTTAATCAAGAGTCAAACCTTGGTCAACTCTTGTAACTTAAGCTTCCAAAAATGAACCTAAGTGTTCCAATTCACTCCCAAACCTTCCTGAAACAAAATCAACCATCCCCGCAAGTCACAAAATAATAAACAAGCGTACAGAAAACATCAAATAGGGGAACGAGGCTCAAATACACAAAATGACCGTTCGAGTCGTTAAGCTATGCCTAAGCCTTCCCTTATGTTGACAAATCTGCTTACCGGGCAATTTCAATACTAGATTCACCTCACATAATTTTACAAAACTTCTTTCATATAAAACTCCTTTAGAATAAAAAATCCATCCATTAAAATTTACGATTTCGTTGATTCGGGTTGAGTCGAGTCGATCCTCTCATAACTGTCTCAATATTTATTAAATTAGAAATTAAAAAAAACTGATGTGGAGTAAAAAAAGTTGCACCGAAAAATTATAGGTTTTCCGGCAATTGTGACTTTTGTATAAATAGGTGAATGTTTTGTATTTTTTCTGTTAGAAAACATAAGTATGTGACTTTGGTTTAAAAAGTCATACTTAGATGACCATTTGTGAAATTTTCCCACAATCTAAATTTTCTATAAAAATTATTAATACCTGTAATTGAGTTACAACTGACAGGATAGTATAAAAAGTTTATACCTACAGGCGACAGTAAGTAAATATATATATTTTGTGTAAACTCTTAGATAAAAGTATCTCACAATGTAGAGTTTTTTCGGCGCTCATCAATATTGACTTGTCTATTTTATAAAATGCAATGTCGTTTGAAATTACAATATGAGAGCATACGATCTCCAATCAAAGAATTCATCTACTGTATAGTTGCATTTTCACAAAATAATGAACAAATACATCATGTCTACAAACTAGAACCTTAGACTTAATTCCTAAAAAGAATAGGACAAAAGAAGTAAAGTAACTGAAAAATAGAGATCACATGTATGAACGCAAGATGCGTGGAATCCATGAGCTCATACGCCTAGGATAGTGAAGTTTAAAAGACTCCTTGTGAAAGTGTTTTCTGAACCAAAGAGCTGAATATTTGGGGTATCTCTTTAATCCATCAGTGTAATCCACATAGCACATTCCAAATCTTAACTTGTAACCGTCAGTCCATTCAAATGTGTCAAGAAATGACCAAGCAAAGAAACCATTAATCTTCACACCGAGCCTGCCAAGTAATTATAAAACAGAAATGTTTTTAGTCAAAATTCAAAATGTTAGTTTATGTTCTTGAAATGAATTAATTATAAAAAGTTTTTTAAGATCTTGTATGCACTTACTCTATGGCTTCTTGAACTGCCAAAAGGTGCCCACGATAAAAGTTCACTCTCTGACGATCCTTTATGGCATCTTTCATTGCGATCTTACGATCAGCCATTCCTGAAAATTCATGGAAATATTAATATGTAATAGACTCAATAAATATTAGAAGTTGAAGGTCATGTCATTTTTCTTTGCCCGAGCAAGTGTGTATATATACTCCCCATTTTGTTTTAATAAGATTATGAAGTTTAAGAAAGAAAGAAACGCTTTTGACCCATGAAAATTATTTTGTAATTTTAAATAAGTCATTATTTTTAATCGTTTCAAGAGCATGCATATGAAGAAATTTTGTACAGTGAAAAGAGATGACAGAATTTGACATACCAGTCTCTGTAATATAAATCGGGGGGTCATTGTACTTTTCCTTCGTGTACACTAGAAGATCTCGAAGTCCTTTTGGATAGTCAAAGAAAAAGCTCACTGCAGTCTGCACCACACCAAAAATGTCTCGTAAATTATATAAATCTTTTTGATAATAATTTAAAATTTAATTTCAGCCTTTACTAGTTNAATAATTTCAGCCTTTACTAGTTATGCGAAGAACTTACAGGATCCCCAATGGGTACTCCATCTCTTTCACCTAACAACATAAGATGCAAAAATAAAATAAGTAGATATATTTATATACCGAGGAAATATTGAAATTTTCCTTATTTATTTTGTTTTCCTTGGTTCCATTTATTTCAATTTTCGAGTAGCTTACCTGTAACGTGGACATGAGGGTCTGTTGCACTGCTGACATTAAAATTGTTTGCGGCAGGGAGATGAGCTGCATAATTTGAGGTGTAGTAATTTAGTCCTATGAAGTCAAAGGACCCTTTCATCATCTTAGCTTGCTCCGCTGTAAAATTCGGTAGCCTTTCTCCCACAATTGTACGCATAATTGAAGGATAATTTCCATACACCAATGGATCCATGAACCTAAAGGAAATAAGATTTTATTGTTAACGATGAAAGATTTTGAACTTCAAATTAGTCTTGTACCTGTATACAAGCTATGATTGATTTAACTCATTAACCAAAAGCAGTGGTGTGGCCGAAAAATTACACTGAGTATATACAAAATTATATTATGTATATATTAAACTTTGAACATGCTTCGTAAAATTTCTGGCTTCGCCAATGACCAAAAGTATGTTTAGTAATTTTTTAGTTTAACTTCTATACACTTACGGTACGTCAATTAAAATATAACCACGGGATAACCGTTTGTAAATAGAAAAAGAGATTAGTATTATGAAATATAAGACATCTTACCTGCTACAACAAGTTAAAATAGATTGATAATGTATTAACCATTTAAAAATATCTGTCTACATAAGTTAAATACGTCGTAAGTAATACTTACCATCCGTACATGAAGTCAATGTATCTTTGCGCTGCTTTGACATCAAGTTCACTATTGGAGTATGGTACCAACCATTGCGACACAAGTGTTATTCCTATCTCTCCCATTTGAGATTCTTGGTATTTCTCTTTGTATAGACTTACTGTGGTAGCGTGACAAAGAAGCAAATGGTGTGCCACAACATAAGGCTCAGTTGCGGAGTTTCCGTTAGCACAAGCATTGGATTGCCAAGGGGAACATCGACCAGGTGCAGAATTTCCTGAGTCATAGCCACCATTTGTAAAAATATAAGGCTCATTCATAGTGATCCAATGCTTCACTCTATCTCCGAATTCTTTGAAGCAAAGTTCAGCGAAGTCCACAAAATCATTCCTGCANCTCAAAATTATAAGGCTCATTCATAGTGATCCAATGCTTCACTCTGTCTCCGAATTCTTTGAAGCAAAGTTCCGCGAAGTCCACAAAATCATTCCTGCAATTTGAATAACATTCTTGCTTTTAGATTTAACTTTTT